TATATCTCACCCGGGAGAAACATACTGCTGATAACACTACTGATGAATGAAAGACAGCTAAAAATCACAGAATGAGGCAATTTCTGCTGCCTCTGAGCTTTATGGAAGATAAATGGAAGGGAAAATGACTTAAATATCATGAACATGATGGGAAGAATGCAGTCAGAGATTCAAGAGATTTTTCTTTGTAGGTTGCTGAATGTTTTCTAAGGTACCCAAAGGTACAGAGCCTGTGCCTCTGGCCATGCTGTACACAGTGGGGCTTTGGTAATCAGGAAATTTTAATTCATTACTGTTCATGGGGCATTTATTTTCCCACTAAAGATTGAAGCTCCACAGCTCTGTTCAGTTTAGTACATGAATGAGACACATTTTTTCTACCATTGTACCTGTAGGATGATGTCCCTCCTCCTGTGTGCTTCGACTGCAACAATTTTATTTCATGCTGACTCTGGATATCTTTGAAGATATTTATGCTTCCTTTGTAGAAAAAATGCTGGATTAATTAAGACAATAACTATTTCTAGTGATGGGCTCTGGACATAAAGACTGCCTAATACATAACCACAAGGTAGACCATGACTCCATGATTTTACTACTAATCTTCCAGCCTTTTTTTTTAACCTCCCCAGCTGATCAGTCCCCGTGTGTTTCACTGGGGTTGTGAGTGCAGCTGAAGGGCTCAGAGTGTGCAAGTGTGCTCCCCATGCAGAGCCTGTGGAGCATCACTCCTGTCTGGAAGAAGCTGATGGATGTGATACCTGCTGGCATAAGTGGAAGTATATTTGCCTGGGAAATGAATGGAAAAGGTAGAGACAGGAAAAAATTTGGAAGATAAATAGCGGTGGCAATGACAACCTTTACTGACCTCAGTGGAGCAGCCTAGAGATGACAAGGAATTGAGGCTGCAAAAGGTTGATGATTTATAGACTGTATGTAAGAGTGGCCCATATCTATTGATATGAATTACAAGTAAGGACAGATTATCTGTCAAAATAGGAAACTGTCTTCAAAAACAAATGTTTCTGAAAAATGATTGGCACAAGGTGAGAAGAGATCACGAACAACTCTTCCAGTAGGTTAAGTGAGCAGGACAAGCTGAGTGTCACTGTGGTTAGGCCTAAAAATTATTGGATGAATATCCAACCTTCCAAAAGCTGATATAGAAAATGACCTTGTTAATTTATTGCATTTGAAGAGACTGACTTATATACTTATTTGCATGTACAAATATGTATGTATAGGTAAGATTTTTTGTTTTCTATTACCAGAAAGGAAGAATTTGTCTGTCAGATATAAAATGTCAAATATGCCTTGGGATAAAATAGCAATGTTTTATTTAGTTAGAAACAACACAAATGTTTTGAAGCAGTTATTTATCTTCCTAATCTGTATCAAGTACAATGGCTGGGAGAGAGATATTTTTATTTTCTAATGTAGTCTGAAGCAGAGGTATTAAAAGAACTGCAGAAAAGAGTAAATAGTGGCTTCTGCTTGTGAGAACATTAAAGTTCAAGTAAAACCATCTAAATCAAACCATGTTACACGTGTAAAAGGATAAACATATTGACCTAAGTATGTAGTCTTTTTATCAGGCAGTCAAAATTGATGTCGTTATAGGGAAAGAATTACTGCTGGGTCAGAAGTTGTCATGGCACTCTGGGTACTTCACTGGGAAATCTATGAGCCACGCCTTGTTGTGTATTAAATTCTAGCTTGCACAATCCCTCAGTGTACTTTGGTCCTTTGGGGTATCTACAATTCCCAGCAAACTGCTACAAAAGCTGCTGAACCTCCTGATATTTTAATACTTACCATGATGACTCTCAGGAAAATTTAGAGTTCTGTTACTGTGTGGGATATAATCTGTTGTATCTCTGTGAAGCAATATATTAAACAATGTAAGAGCAACTCTAATGAGTCAGACAAAAAGCTCATATAGCTCAGTGACCTAGCTATAACAGTGGCTATAGGCTGATACTTAGAGGAGAAAGTGAGAATAAAAGTTAAAACTTAGTTACTGCTAATATCCCCTTGTTTCCAAGGCCTGTTATGCTATTATAGCAACAAATGTGATTGCACTGACATGATTTGTTCCTGATAAATCCATGGAGGCTATTATTTATCACCTTATAGTGCTCCAGCTGCTTACAGATAGGATTATAGCTTTATTTTGTCTTTTAATATGCACAAAATCTGAATGAAGGCTTTAACAAATCGAAGCATCATTAATTTTGAAAGTTTAGTATTGTACTTAGGGGACAGTGTTACACGTCATAGCTCCAGTCCTCTTACAATTCCTACACCAATTTTCTAAATAGAGGGAGCCTTGCTGAAGCCCTCAGGGCCCTCTTTTCCTCCTCTCGTAGCAACCACTACCAACAGATGATTGCACTACATCCAACAGGTATAGCAATGAGCAAACTGCTCCTGGCTGTGCCAGTTCTACTAACCCAGGAAGCAGCTCGAGGCACAGGTATTACAGTGGCTGGGGCTGGGAGATGGAAATGTAACCAAGGTGTTTTCTGAAGCCCCGTTCCTCTTGATGACGTTTCCTTGTTCACTAGGAGAAGTTTATAAGTTTTGTCTGACTTCTTAGTTATAGCTGATTGTTTTGCTAAATTAATAAGTATGTACAAAATAAAAACCCTCCCTTTGAAACACAAACATTTAAGGCTGAGTGATGTTAAAAAGAGCTGCTGGTTGACATTTCTTAGTTATTGCCCTTGTTTCTCTCAGCATGGTCCCCCTAGAACCCACCACAGACTCTGTTCATCTGCTGGGGATGCCCAGTCAGAGTAAGAGCATGGATTTAATGGACTGGCTGTACTACCAGCTCCAAGTGTCCTCCCTAACCACCTACCCAAACCTGGGTTCCTCAGTAGTGAACAAAAGACTCCTTTTGGTTGACATTCTGGTATCCAAGTCACACTTAAGAACCTCAGTGTCTTTCTGTAGGATTGGCCTTTAATTTCATCTGCCAGAACCAGGTGCCTGAGGCTGTGGTGATATGGGCAACACACCATTTCTTGTACTCGTCCCTTTGCTTCAGCTACAGGAGCTTTGTGTTGTCTGAATCCATTTGAAAAGGAGAGGGAAAAAGCAACCGAATAGTTTTCTGCTTTTGTGAGGCACAAAATAAAATCCATACTTTAGAATTAATATTTGCATATACACAGGATGTGAGTTGTTCACCAAACAGGCTGGACAAGATGGCTTTAAATTTTTTACTGACTGCTGCTTGCATAGATTGTGACAGAGTCCCTGAAATGAATGGCACTTCTATTGTACAGCTGGTGACAGACAGAATTCTCTCTCAGTATACCCACACAGCAGCATTATGTCAGACCATACTGCAGGCTCTGGTTAATACTGCTTAGTTCTAGGAATGTGTTTCGAGTTTTGTATTTTACTGTTTTATTAGTGAATAAGCTTGTACTATTTGCATCTTGAAAATTTTGTTGGACTTTTCTGTAGTTACAGAACCTAAAGCTGGGGAGGTTTGTAGGCTGTAGTTTAATGTTGAAGATTTTGCAGTTACTTAGTGATGATGTTAAAGCAAGATTAGGCCTAAATAATGTACCTGTGGGCTGAGGTAAGAATAGCCACTTGAGAGCTGATGAGCATTGCTCTAATGCTACTTCAGAAGGTTTTTTCCTTGAAATAGGAAATTTGAGATCAACCTTATAACACTGGGCACACAGAAGAATACCAATTATTTAGCTATGAGTTGGGAAACATCTCTTTTAGCACTGGTTTAGCATCATTCATTATATGAAAAAAGTTGAGAATGTTGTTGTGGATATAACGAGGTGTAAAGCTCAAATTTACCACCTGGTGTAGAATGCACAGCCAAGAACTCACATAGTTGTCATCTATGGTCTTTTTTCACTGACCCATCTGAGAACAGATGTGCCAAATGCACTACTATTCTGATTAATCCTATTTAAAACTTCAGCTTTAAGCCAACTGTCATGACAGCTTTTTTAAAGGTTCATGTGAGGCTACACATTCCAAACCCAGGGAATTCTGAGGACTCTGTTTTGCAACTGAGGGAGCACATCAGTGCACTGCAGGACAGAAGCACTCACAGAACACTGGTCAAGAGTGGGAAGAAGCACAAAGCACAGAGTAGTTTGTGTTTTTTTTCCTTTGGTTGTTCTGGAAACAGCAGACCTTGTTTTCCCTCGTGTACTGCAGGCAATGACCTGCCAGCTCTGTTCTGTACTGGCAGGACCAATGCTGGTTAAGAGATCTCTTTCAGTCAGAATTTTTTTCTCTGTACCTTCAGGGTCAACATCAAGGTTTCAAAGTTTTGGCCTTTAAAAGGCTTAGCCTATAGGTAAGAGAAAATTATAATCTTGACACAAATCATCAAGTCTTAAAATACCTCTGGCCTCTCAGACTTTTGCCGTGTTTATCATTAGATTGGTTTGGTCTTAGTGGTTCTTAACATTTATTTTTCATCCTCTGTAAAACCTGTATTTGCACCTGATCTGATGTTTATATGTGTAACATTAAGCCTTATCTGCAAGAAAAAAAAATAATTCTAATGTGACATGCTTTTGCCCACATCATCATAAAATTATCCTTCTAGCTTAACAATTATAAGCTGCCTCTGAACAATATAAAAGAATTTTCATTCTAGGTAGGTTGTTATTTGCTTTTTTCTTCATTCCTTCTGAAAACAAAAAAAAAGTAGTTGGAGGGAACAGGATTACATCTTGGAGAATTCTATATTGAAACTTACTTCAGACACTATTAGAAGTTCATAGCATGAATTTTTTTATCTGTTCCTTCCCATAATGCAGTAAAAACAAGAAAAAATACAAACAATGAAAATATGTGGTATGAAGGACACTATGGCTTTGTAGCTCAGTGTCTGCTGTCTTAAATCAACAGCCCTTCAGGAGGGTTCCATGCATTTGGGGTCTGCTGTAGTATCCCCTTGACTGGACACAGTAGAAATCTGTGCACAAATAAATACACGTTACCATAAGTCAGGAACAAGTGCTCACTCCAAGATTTTATTAAAATTGAACACAGGCAAGTATTCGAACATAGTTCTGGTTGAGAACCTAGACAGCTAATCTCGTTAGGATTTAGGTTTTACAGTGTGCCAGAGCCTCAGGTAACCCTTTTGTACATTCACAGGAGCATGGGAGTGAGCAGGCACCTCGTCTCTCAGCCAACCACCACCATGTCATCACCAACAAACTGGTAAGTTGGAACCTCAAGGTTTAAGGGAGCGGGACCTTTCCTGATCCTGCCAGAGGCGTCATAGTGGGAGCCGTGGCAGGGGCAGTAATACCCACCGAAATCCCCGGAGTTGGCAATGGGCACACAGCCCAGGTGGGTGCACACACCTATCAGGATCACCCACTCGGGCTTCTTCACTCTGTCTAAGTCATGCTGCGGATCCCTCAGTTGAGCCAAATCAACTTCAGCTTCCTGTTTAATCTCTGCCTGGGTTCTGTGGCGCACAAACAGGGGCTTCCCTCTCCACTTGAAAGCCATGTTCTTGCCTTCTGGAATGTCAGATAACTTGATCTCGATCTTTGACAAGGCTAGCACATCAGCAGAGGCACTCAGGCTGGAAATGAACTGGGTGACAACATTCTTGGCAGCGTAGGCAGTTGCTACACATGTCGTTGCAGTCATCAGGTAGGAAAAGCCTTTCCTAGAATCACTGCTGCCCTGGGAAGACGCAGCGGGATCTTGCACGTCCTGGCGGCGATAGGCAGAGAAGTCAGGGACTGCGACATCGTTGTGGACACAGCGAACACTGGCAGGGGCTGCATGGAAAAGAACACAAAGTGACACAACCTTTAGGTAAAAAGTATTATAATGTATTTCTAGTTATACCTTTTTAATTGCTTTCTTGGAATAATGGGTGAAAGTTATTCCAAAGTCTGGGTAGGAGTCCATTAATAATACATTTCAATTTCCAGTTGTACGAAAATAGTTTTCAGAAGGAAGTTTTGGTAGATGAACAGCTGATCTGTGAAACTGTTTTACCTGTTCTGTGAAAATTATGTGAAGCCTGACCAGGGTGCAGAAAAATCTGGGATACATTCTAGGTTTCTGGAAAAAAAGTGAACTGGTTTTTTGGTGGATTTTAAGGATACCATGGCTAGCTCAGAAAAGACAGACCTGTTTTCCATTCAAATGCTTCCCTGTAAAGAATTGCTGTGAAGAAATTTGATTTAGTGAAGTTTGCACATTTGCAGCTTAACACATTTATGCTCTTTTGACTTAAGTAACTTCTATGCCTCTAGTAATCTTAAGTGTGTGGTTAAACATCATTACAATGAAAAATAGCAGGCATCCTCTTTTATATTAAGCTATTGTCATAGGTAAGTGCCCCAGTACATAATTTTTAAACCTGCAGTCCCCAGGCTCGCTTTTTAGAAGGATTTAGGGATAAAGCTAATCCCAAACTTTTCAAGTGGGATTCCCACATCAAACCTGTGTGCTAAAGTAACAAGATGTGATGGGTAACTAAGAGGCCTTCCATTAGTTTCTCCAGCAAAAGAAAGCTGCTTCCCACAATGGAAATTTGTAAGCCAAGAACGTGGCAAAGACAGAACATATAACTTGCCAAAGTGCAACCTCTGTTACTTGAAAAGTATTATGTAGTCTTTATGTTTTTCTAGCAATTGGCATAAAGTTAACAGATGGTAATAAAACCCCTTGTCTCAAGGTACTTAAAATTTAACTCTGAGGGATTTATATCCAATATGATGGGGAAAATAGTTACATTTACTTACAAGTAACTCAGCATAGAGAAGATATTTGCTGCAGGATTTTAAATGCAGAGAAATTAAACTGAACTTCAAAATTCTGTGAGAGTAAACCATACTAAGTTATTTCAGGATCAAGACTTAAAATATTTCTCATTTAGTAACAAGTAATATGACTAAGTGCTAAAAATTCCTTATATTCAGTGAAAGGCATGTTTGTTGTTAATTAGAACTACGAGTAAGGCTAAATGTCAGCTATGTTAGACTTGCAGAATTTTCACCTAAACATACCCTTTATGGGGTCAGGTGAAGCCTGTGGCACTAATGCTACCGAGCATCTTCTCCGAGGCACTGCCCTTTCCCAGGAATATAGGAATGCCCCCTGTAACAGCAGGAAGGAGTATTATACCATGCCCAGCACCAGCAGAGCTGGGCAGCAGTTCTCCAGGAAATGCAAACCAGTGAGTCAGGGAGAGCCACAGCCCTTTGGCCAAGGTCGGGCTCTAAAGAACACCTTGGGGTCATCACCTGGCTGCTGCTTTTCTGACCTGGAGGGAACACCTAGTAGAACTCCCCTCCCCGTGTGTTCTCACTGCACACCTCTGCTCTGACACCCAAAGTCAGATAAATACCTCACTGAATGACACAGGATTTACCTGCATTTTCCCCACTGCAAAGTGAGTATCACCTGAGTATATCTCTCGTTCAAGAACTGTCTGGACACAATCCCATGTGCTCCGGGATGACCCTGCCTGAGCAGGGAGGTCGGACCAGGTGCGACCCAGTGCGGTTCCTTCCAGCCTGACCCACTCAGAGTCACCAGAAAGCAGCAGCCTTTAGGTGCCCTTGAACAAGCTCTGTGGTGGCCAACGCGTGCTGCTGCAACCGTGACAGCCCCAACCAAACATTTACACCGTCCCAAAACACCCAAACCCAGCGGCCCGCCCGCCTGCCCTCACTCAGGGCCCTGTACCCGCGGCCGGACCGCGCTGTCCCCGCCGGGCAGCGCCGACCGGGCGCGGAGCCCGAGCCCCGTCCCCGCCGCCCCTCGCCCGCCCCGGTACCGCCGTCCCGCACCGTTCAGGCTGGCGCTGGCGACGAGCCCCCCGCGGGCGGCGCGGCCGCTCAGAGATTCCCGGCAGAGCAAGGGCCGCTTGGGGTCGAGCGGCACTTTTTGCTGGCTCCTTGCGGCCGCCGGGGCGAGCGGCCGGAGCGGGCTGGGCACGGCGTGGGCCGCGGCGGACACGAAGGGCGCGAAGGGCCCGGCGCGGGCGGCCACGGACAACATGGCGGAGTCACCGCGGCGACCTTCCCGGCGGGGCGGGGCCGTGACGTCACGGCGCGCGGCTCTCGCGCGGGGGTGACGTAGCGCGGGGCGGGCGGCGGCCGCGGGTGCCCCGTGAGGGGCGGGGTGGTGGGGACAGATGGAGTGGCTTCGTCGTTATTTTCCCTTTCCTTGCCTTTTTATCCGTCCCTTCTTCTCACACAGAGTAGTCGAACGCTATTGCAAACACGATTTTTTCTCTTTAAGTGCCGTTGTCTGAGGTATTTCTGTTCGCTGGTTCCGAAGGGCAGTGAGTGCGTTGCAGTCCCGTCCCACAGTGCCTGTGATGATACTTGATAGCAAATCTAACTCACCAAACTTCACAATATTTCAACGAAGGGTTCGTGAAAGGCTGCGGGCACGTGTGAGTGGCTCCTGTGCCTTTCCTGCAGGACACGGATCCATTTAAACACTGTGACCCCAAAACACCCCGGAGGGTTCAACGTGTTTTATTCTTTTGCTGCTCCTATGGTGGGATTGAGAGATGTGTAAATACTATTCAGAAGCAACAAATAAAAGAAAAATGTGTCACTGCTAGCATAACATATGCCCTTTATTATTCTGCCTTTGTACCGTGTATAATTTTTGCCTCCTTTTATTTCTTTTTTTCTTTATCTCTTTATAGTCCTGGATCAGTTGGAAAGTGGTGGTGGGGGGATAAATAATTTGTTTTAGTTTGTCGTAGGAAATTGGTGGGGGATGGATATTACTTCCAGTTTTACAATGCAAAGCATGTTTTAAAATGCACGTGCGATGTTCAAACCCACATTTCTCCGGGCACCTTCCAGCTGCCACAGCTCCAGTGTTTTCCATTGCTCATCAGCCCCTTCAGTCTGGGGCTCAGACTGCTGGGGAAGTCAAACAGTTCCCCAGAAACTCATCATCAGTGCTTAGGAGGGTGAAGGAACACAACAGCTGTCACTACCAAAAATATATTTCTTTTCTCAATCACAGACACGGGCAGAGATGCAAACATAGTCTTTATCTTAATATCTTGATGAAGATATAATATATTATTTTGAAAAATTCCTCCTAGATTTTTTTAAGTAGCAAAAAAGCTGAATAAAATGCTCTGTTTTTAGTATTTTTTTTTTTTTTTTTTGAGGGGTGGGGAGCACGAGTGGATACAGGTAAATCAAAGTATTAAAAAAATATTGGGTTAATACTAAAGAAAATATTTTGGTAGATTTGAATATTTTTTCTCTTAAAAATACAGCTGGTCTGATAGATAGCAATAGACTTAGCTTGACCTGCTAAGGTAGTTCTAAAATGGGTAATGGTGTTATTCTGTGGAGCTTCTCAAGGGGAAATAAAAGTGGGCTTTTTTTTCTTTGTTTTTGAAAGTACATCTTCTAAGACGATATGCCAGCAACAGGCAAGACAGAAATATCAGTTAATTTCTGTGTTTGGTCCCTTTAATTAGATAATACATGTGATTTCACTCTTTTGACTGCACAGAAGAATAGTCTGAAACAAAACAATACTGCTGCCAGCTCCTTCCCCCCTGCCACAAGCAGCAAATGACACCCTCCGGGCAAATCAAACCCGATTCCTCTCCCAAGGGCCATTCTGGAGGTGGAGGTTCAGTTCATAAAATGAGTCTTGGCAGCCCCGAGCCATTCACACTGAGGAAGGGCAGCACTTTTGGAGAGGAGAAGGCAGAATGCCATGGTAGTTGTTGCTCCCTTTGCAGCAGGAGCTGCTGGCTGGCTCTGCAGGGCTCAGCCTGGGAGCACAGGCAGGATTCTGTGGAAGGCACGCTGGGGAACAGAACCTGTGGCTTGGACGTTGCTGGAAGCAGCAGCCCAGCTCTCAGGGAGTCCTTATGGGCAAGGTTCCAGTTCTCTGTAGTGACCACTCTATGTGGGATGATGATTCTCACCCAAAACTTGTTTGGGTTTATTGCAAGGCTAAGAGGACAGCAGATACATCACACAGATGAACTCTGGACTAAAGGAAAGAGCCATTCTTCGACTAACGATTGAAGAGAATAAATAAAATCTGTGGAGGTTTTTTGGGGGGGTTGTTTTTGTTTGTTTGGGGTTTTGGTGTTTCTGTTTGGTTTTTTGTTGTGTGTTTTTTTTTTAATTTCCCAAATTTATTTTACTGTATAATAACAGTCTCATACTTGACTTGTGACAGCTTCCAATGGTAAGATTTAGTTTGGTACCAGATGGATACATTAGTGAGTGCATACCTGCTCCAGTCAAGCCTTTGGACTATTTCAGGCTTCTAAAAATTTCCCAAAATGCAGGACACACTTGACACAGAGATATGTTTGAACACATTTGAGCTGAACCATTTTTCTAGAAATCTAACCAGAATTTCTCAGCTACCCAGCCCAGTCTATTCATGCAAGGCTGTGAAGCTTTAGTGGTTCATACTGGTTGTATGAAGAATTATTGTTTTGAAAACCAGCTATTGCTAATATTGTTGCTACTGAATTATTTTTTGATTGTGCATTAAAAAAACCCTGTCTCTATGGATGGTAGATTAAGGACTGGCCTTATTAAGATTTATTTAAGAGTTTGACTTTTTCATTTTCTTTTTAACTGTTGTAAACCATACTGAAATGTGGTAGTTCTAATTAAGTGGGATGGATCATTCCACTTACCGTACTATTGATCTATAATTTATTTCTTTCCCAGCACGTTTGTGACATCTAAGCCTGAGTAGATAATGATTTACCCAACTCAGTTCACTGTACTGTAAGTGTAGTAAGTAGAGGTGTAGTAATTACAAGACATCATAATAACATTCTAGAGAAAAGGTAATTTTTAGAAACTACAGGGGCTATGACACAATATATCTGTGGAAATAAACAATCAGGGGGAGAAAAAAACTAGGAGGGCCTGTTTTAACATCACACATTTTATAAACATAATTTCATTTAAGAGGAAAAGAACTACAGAAATGTGATCTTATTTTTTATTCTCTAACAGATTACAAAATTTCATTGTCACAGTAAAAATCTGATCACAACTGAACAAGTTCTAGCAGGGCAAAACCAGTTTCTGCCAAGGCCATCAGCTGTTAGTATGCTGTAGGTATTTGGTGGTTCACCATGAAACTGAGGATCAGAGCTAATGTTTGTAGAAAGGTTTGTGAGCAGTTGTGGGGCTTGGGGATTTTTTTTGTTGTTGTTTCGTGAAGTTTTTTGTAAGGATTCTGAGTTTTGACAGTGATGCAAGTGTTCAATTTGCTAACCCAGCTCAGCTGTTTGGCAGATATGGTCTCATCCCAAACAATATATTTTTTCTGACTGAGGGCTGTTCTAGAGATGTTTAGCAAAATGTGTTTGCTGCTTTTAGGGCCTTTTGACAAAATGAGATAGCTGTGATGGAACTGTAGTGATGGGACAAGGAGTAGTGGGTACAAATTGAAAGATGGGAAATTTAGGTTAGATATTGGGAAGACATTCTTCCCTGTGAGGGTGGTGAGGCCCTGGCACAGGTTGCCCAGAGAAGCTGTGGCTGCCCCGTCTCTGGAAGTGTTCAAGGCCAGGTTGGATGGGGCTTTGAGCAACCTGGGCTAGTGGGAGGTGTCCCTGCTCATGGTGAGTGCATTGGGATTAGATGGTCTTTAAGGTCCTTTCCAACTCCTTAATGTTCTATGATTCTATAATTTTTTTGGAAAACACAGTTGTAAATTTTTTAAAGACATAAGACTGATTTTTCAAATTACAGCGTGGTTAGAAAATGATTAAAACATGAAAATGTTTCAGCAAAAAGTAACTACCTTCTGTTTTCAGTTTAAGAAAGAGTAATCTTAATTTTAAAATGACTAAGCGTGTTCTGGTGTGTAGGTGTTTCTTTGAGAACTGTTGTTCAGGTTATGTTGCTGAGCATCAGTACTGAGCAAGCGTTTTCCAGGCAAACATGAAAGTAAAATGCCAGTATGGTATTGTGTAAACCATCTATACAGACCTCTGTGATTGCTTTTGTGCATTCATAAGAGTGTTAGCCTCATGAAAATGTATACTGCTTAATGTTCTCATCCTTCTAAAGTAAGTTAAAAGTTCATTTGCATTAATACAAAAGCTGTAAGATGTCAGGGCTGCAGCATTATGGAATAGTTGCAATGTATTGTTGTAATGCTTTGGGGTATGTGCAGTGCGTTTCTCCACATAGTATTTATTCTTGTGCTGATTTTCTTTGGAGATGAAGTGCAGAACTTGGATGGCTTTTTGCTAAAATATTGGTCACCCCAGGCAGTTTGATCTTAGCAAAAATTTATCTTTCTTTCAGTTCTTTGCCATCTTGCGTTATTTTTATGCTCTGAAAACTCAGTGCTACTAAACTTGAGACTTCAGGGTTTGCTTTTGCTTTTTGGTTTTGCAGTGTTGATAATTTCATTTCTCCCTGAATAAGCTTATTCAGAAAGAAATAAAAACCAAAAACCCAGTCAAACCACCAAACTCCAGCTGAGGAGTGCTGTTAGTTCAGGTATCCCCTGCTTCATCACACAGGGGGTGGTTTTGCCCTGAGCAAGAATTTTCTGGATGTTAAAATGGAAGCGTTTCCTTTCTTCACACTACACAGCTTTTCCTTTAAAAGCTATTTCTAGCAAGAGAAATGCATACTCTTTTATTTAATGGTAATTTTTGTTTGTTTAGCTATGTCGTAGTTTTCTTGTGTGAACTTTCCAAAACAGGCTGTGTATCTTCAATGCAGTAGCAAGTTCCAGGGTCTACATCCTGCAGGTATCAGATGAGCCCTTCCCATGCACTGACTATTTAGGTAAGAGCACCCTTCTCTCAGAGTGGCTCCAAAGGTTTGTGGTGCTTCCTTTGCAGAATTAACATTCGTTACAGTGATTTCTGTTTTGTGGTGTGGCACTAGGGAAGCTGTCAAATAAATTTGAAGATGGATTTGTGGATGCAGTATGGTTTGTTTAAGGTTAAAATTGCGGTGACCTTTTGATATTTAGATGTTATTGTTCTTTAAAGGTGGTCTGTTGCTTTGAAAAGTCACAGGATGTGATCAAAAGGAA